AAAAAAAAAAAAAAATCCCTTAAGAGAAGTTTGATTAAAAAAAGCAAAAACCATGTGGCTGTGATTAATTCGCCTGATCCGTGGTGTCAATCAACGGGGCGGCGGAACCAAAATAAGGAGAATGAAAAGGCGAGGAAGGGACGGCCGGAAAAAGGGTAAGTGAAGGACTAAGTCACACTACGAAAGAGGGAGAATCGGAGTCAGGTCTTCTGATTTATGGTATTGGCATATTACTCTAATTCTTCTGCCTTTCTGTTTGCTTCACTGTTCACTTGCCGCCGTCTCATTACATTCATTTGGGTGTCTCTTGATTGAAGATGTGATTGAAATCGGCTGTTTAAATTGGAATGTTTTTGTCGAAAATGTGAAATTGGGACTCCCAAATAGGATTTGGAGTCTGAAGTTTGTATTTGGGTTCATTTTCTCCTAGAAAAAATAGTCTTTTCTCCGTGTGGAAGAAAAGGCTTGCCTTTATACTACTACAACCAGATTAGTTTGTTATTATAGTAGATGGTGTTACAAAAAGACTTACGCTTTGGTAACATACTTGTTTTTTGAGATTATGATTTTTTAGTCTCTCTTGATGACTCAGGTCCCAACTGATCATCAAGGGGTTGTTCAGGAGATATCGAAGGTGGAATCCTGTGCATCCAACATATGGTGCCTTTTGGGGCATGGGAATAGGCGTTGGTTGCGGTGTTGGATGGGGTCCTGGTTTTGGCCCTGAGGTGATTGGTTATGTTGGGGCTGGCTGTGGAGTTGGATTCAGTGTGGGCATAACTCTTGTTGGCTTTGGCATTGGTCTTCCTGCAAATTGCCTATTTGAAGTTCCTTATAATGGTATTCTCGCTTGTAATTGAAAGTTTTTAAACAGTTTACTCATTCCTCTTGGTTAATATGCTGATATATCGAAGATTGCTTCCCAGCTATTATGGCAACAAGAACTGGTGCATTGGATCTTTTGAGGCTCAGTTCAAAAAATGCAGTGGGGGGTGGCTGGAACAGTATTGCACCTTACATCTCTAGGATGCAAAGAGAAGCCAGCAGAAGATTACCAGGATTTAACCCAAGAGAATTGTTGGACAAACGGGTTGATTTATTTGATTTGAAAACTACACTATTTGATTTGAAAACTACACTATCTATCCCTACTAAAGCCATACAGGAAGGCTTTGGAAGATTCAATGGTCGCTTTTTTGGTCCTAACAAAGGTGTCCTTTAAAATGCAGCATTCTGAATAATTTCAAAATGTTTCTGCTTTTAGTATTTTAAACTTGGGATTTTGCACCAAATAACATGACTGCATTGGGGGGTAGGTTGTAGGTATCTAACTTCCACATGGTGACTTTGAAAATGCAGATGTGTGGGTTGTAATTTGAGTAGAATTAGGTTATTTAAACCTTTGCTTTGATTAGTTTACATCTATGTTATGCTTTGTTGCCTAAAGTTTCTGAATATTCGTACCTTTTTAAGTAGTAGTCCAAATCCTTTTATGTACATAACACACACTAGGACAGCCGATACAAAATTCCACCTGTTGTTATGCTGTGGCTGTCTCCCTTCCTTCATAGCTTGATAAGGTGCAGCTGCCTCCTTTTTCATTTTATTTGCTCATGTCTAGATATTTTCTTTTCTAAGATTGTTGCCAGCAAATTAACCATCTGAGTTCCAAAAGCAACATATAAAATTTCCCAAAGGCAAAGCTTTTGTAGATTTTAACCCCCAAATTCTAAACCCCAACCATGCTCTTCCTAGTACTGGACCAAAGATCCTGAGAGTGCCAGTTAAGTTGCAACTTGCAAGAATATGTAAATTGGACCACATTTGTCTAATATTGTTCTAACCTTCCAGGCAACTGCATGTGACAAGATAAAACATTTAAGTTATTTGTCCTAGCATCATCAATTTGATATGCCATGGATCGGGTTGGTCAATTTTCCCTTATGAAAGCTTATTCTTGAATTGCTGTTAGTGTTTTGGATAATGATTTGCGGGACGAAAGTGGGGAGCGAAAATGGGAGCCGGCAAGTGAAGTTGGTTAAATGGGTAATTTTGTAATTTAACCAACTTCACTTGTCTTCACTTGTCGGCTCCCATTTTCGCCCCCCACTTTCGTCCCGCAAATCATTATCCTAGTGTTTTTGAAGGTGGATTATATTATTACCAACTGCTGCAAGATTTCAAAACAAATGGTAATGACGTAAATTTCAAATTTCAAAATTCAAAGTAAATTCAGAACAGGAAAAGCAAACTAAAACCTAGTCAAGTAACTTTTTCTTGGCCATCTCATGTTGGGCTGGGAGACACATGGACATGGTAATGTGGTAACTCATGCATCATCATGTGTTTATGCAATTATTTTTTACTAGTTTCAGTTGCATTTCCCTAATTTCTTATGCACCTTGTTTGACCAATAAAGGAGACTACGATCTTTAAATTTCTCGCAGGTTTGAAAGATTAGTACTAGCATACTCTGGATTTTCAACTTCCTCACTAGCAAAGCAACTATATACCGAGGCTTATGTACATGTATTCTGGAACTATATTCAATTTGATTAGTATCTTGGAGACATCTAAGCAGCAAGCAATGCAGCATAATCAAGATTTTGTAAGCGATTGTGAACATTTCTGCATTTCTCTTGGTTAACATGCTAGAATTTGCAATAGTTTTGAAATAGGGGAGAGTGTTTAATTTCCTTGCCTATAATAAATATGGATATAAATATGGTACAGATTCGATCTCATGCAGGTTGAGACAAAACAACTACAGGAAGAATGAAGAATTTCTATTGTCTGATTTTTTTTTATTTTTTTGATAACTATCTTCCTACATGAATATATTTGGATCTAAAAATGACAAAACTACTTAAAAAAAGAAGAAGCACATTTACTGATAGCATTCAACATTTATTAACAACATTTCTGAATTCTGTTTCTTATTTTGATTTTGAACCCTCACTTTTACTGGCAATTAAATTATCCAACAACTCCTACCAAAACTTCAGTGCCGAAAAATAAAAGGCACGGCATTAGTTCCCAACACGGTAAAATACCATAAATTTGAAACAAGATTTTGGTAAATGCAGTCAAATAGTCAATTGTAATAAAACAAGAAAGCGAATGAGATCCAATCCAAATCTAGAACAGCGAACCTGGTCTTACTGACAATATTTATTATTGACAAAATACAAACGTAATTGTAGGTCCTATCCCCCTACATACCGATAAAAAAGGCCGTAATCCAATGAGCTGCCTTCGGTTGGCCTCGGGCATTGGGTGGGGCATGCCCATGTGGTTGGGACCATTTCTAAGGCACAAGCCAGATCACCTTACAATTATTAAAACCCCTTTATTCTTCGATGCGTGTTTTTGTCCTTTGTTCTAAAGAAGCACCGGGTGGCCTTTTAATATATATATGTATCATAAAATCTCTCAAAAGCGGCCATTATGATAGCTGTTTAGTCATCTGATATCACTTTAATTTGTTCTTATTCATTGAATTTATAGGAAGTCGAGAATAATTTGAACAGAGAGGAATGACTTTTGAGCATGAATTTCGTTGTCTCGTGGCATTATCTTTTTTTTTTTTTTTAGTAAAGTCTCGCGGCATTATCTACCTGCCAAGTTTTGAATCTTAATATTTGCTGTCCATCAAAATTATACTTTTCTTTTTCTTCTTTTCTAAGCACATGTTTGAATTTTGAAAATAGTTATCCATGGAAGAAAGATGAGAACATGTCTGCACATGGAAACGGCCATTTTTAGAGGGGAGAGAGAGGAAATTTCGTAGGTAATGTTGTAGTGATACGGCTCTTACAATAAAAAGTTAATAAATATATATATATATATATATATTTTTTTTTTTTTGTGTATGGAGAATGATTAAGAAATGAGATATTTTTTAAGAGTTGATGGAAATTAAATTTTTTATTAATTAAATCCAAATATTAAAATTTAAAAACAAACCATAAATAGTAATTAATAAAATTATTAAACTTTGCAAAATTGATCAATTAAATTGTTATCACGTAAGATTGTGAGAATTTGTTGTAAAAAGAGCATTATCCAAGATATAGAGTATATGAGATATGTTTTCTTAATCTCTTGGTAGCCGGCTTTGATTAAATTATGACATAAGTTACTACAAGACAGATCGGGTTAGTTAAGCAAGGGATGTCGTACTCCAGTGTCTCCTGTCATCTTTTAGCTCAACTCAACACATATATAATCACCCCTTGCGTATCCGAACTTCCATGAGCACCACCAGTTGAGGCAATTTCCTCAAAAAAGCACACCAGTTCTTCTGATCCAAATACATTTAGTCAGATTTCCTTTCCAAAATGATAAAAATGATAGGATTCATTATCTTGAGTCTTTTAGCCTCCTCAATCCCCACACAAGCTCAACTTCAACTGGGTTTTTACTCCAAAAGCTGCCCCAAAGCTGAGAAGATTGTGCAGGATTTTGTCAACAAACACATCCACAATGCCCCCTCCCTAGCAGCAACCCTCATAAGAATGCACTTCCATGACTGCTTCGTTCGGGTTTGTGCTCCTACCTTTACAACTTTTGCCCCACCTTCTTCTACCCAGCTTTTAACATGTTAGTTAATAACCCTTTTGTGGCTACAATTCAGGGCTGTGATGCATCCATACTCCTGAACTCAACTTCAGGTGGGCAAGCGGTAGAAAGGCAGTCCGTTCCAAATTTATCAGTTAGAGGGTACGACTTCATTGACAGAGTAAAGAGTTTACTGGAAGCAGAATGCCCTGGTATTGTCTCCTGCGCAGATACCATTGCTTTGGTTGCAAGAGATGCCATTGTTGCCACAGTAAGCTCTCAAATTAGTTCATTTACTGCAATTTAATTTCATCACAAAGGAAAGTCTGTTGTGTGGTTACATTATTACTGTGTACACCAGGGAGGTCCATTCTGGAGAGTTCCAACCGGACGCAGAGATGGCTTGATCTCCCTACAGTCCGAGGCTAATACCCAGATCCCCGCTCCATTAGACAATTTCACCACTCTTGTAACTCGTTTTGATAGCAAAGGACTAGATATAAAAGACTTGGTTTTACTATCTGGTACATTACTGTTTTTGTTTCTAATTTTTAGAAACTTTTCATAAACTTACCCGAATTTGTTTAGACAACCTAATGATTTTTTTTTTTTTTTGGTATGATATGATGGTTCAGGTGCTCATACGATCGGCATAGCCCATTGCTCTGTATTTGCAGACCGCAGACTGC